AAGGAGAAAGAATGACTAAATTCTTCTTCCGGAAAATTACATCCAGAGGAAGGAACAACCTCATCAACCAATTACAAGGACCGGCTGGCCTTACTTCGGACAAGGACGAAATGCTTCAAGTGGCTTTACATTTCTATAGCAATTTGTATACAACAAGAGAACATGAACACCCAAGATCACAGGTACAAGAAGCGCGAGCCAAGTTTCTGAACTATCTGCAGCCTACAATCTCGCACTATCAGGCCGCAAAGCTGGATGCCCCATTGACAAAAGATGACCTATGGGAAGCATTAAAATCCATGGCGCCCAACAAAACTCCCGGAAAAGACGGACTAACCAAGGAGTTTTGGCTGGAATATTGGCCAATTCTGGGGGATGATTATTTGGCGTTTCTGGAACAGGCATGGCAGGCAGAGAGATTGGGTCAAGACCCCGCAATCGGAATCGTCACTTTGATATACAAAAAGGGAGACCCATCGGATATTCGTAATTACAGGCTGATAACGCTGCTATCTCTGACGTATAAGATAGTTGCTAAAGTATTAGCGAACCGCCACACGTCAATAATAGCGGGTTGTTTCCATATAGATCAGACAGGATTCATACCAGGTAGATTCATATTGGATAATGTTATGACCCTAACGAAAACAGTACGGTACATTCGGGATAAGAGGATTAATGCCGCTATCCTGTTCTTTGACTTTGAAAAGGCATATGACCAGGTTAGCTGGCCATTTCTACAACAATACATGGAAGAAATGGGAGTAGGTCCGAATTTGAGGAAATGGATAAGAGTTCTTTACAACGATGCACAAGGGCAAGTGCAGGTCAATGGGCACTTATCCTCGATTTACAGGATGACGAGGTCTGTCAGGCAAGGGGACCCCCTAGCCACTCCGATATTCCTCTTCATAATGGAGGCAGTGGCATCTTTTCTACGTAAGGACCCATCAATCCAAGACTTGTAGCAGAGTCGGATCAGCAGGGGCACAATATACAACTTCCCACAATTCTCCTCTTTGTAGACGACCTGACGGTGCTCATAAGGGCGTCGGACTCATCGTTCCTCGCACTGACGAAAGCTATGGAAGCCTTCCAACTTGCGTCTGAAATAAAGATCAATTGGCAGAAAACTGAGGGATGGTGGTTAGTAGATTAGGATCAGGAGGATAACCCCCATTCTAGTAGTCCGGAGGGATTGAGGTGGACAACAGCGCGAGTTCCCATTAGATATTTAGGCATCAAGATTACGGAATCAGGGGGCACATCAGTCGATGGCGGCAGATCTAATGGCAAAAGTTCTATCTAAGTTGGGATCTTGGTCGGCAGTATACACTTCCATTTACGGGAGAGCCCTCATACTCAACGCCTCCATCTTCTCCATGTTATGGTATGCAGGTTCAATATGGACACCAYYGAARTCYGCGGCAACTGTATTGAGAAGAAGAGCGGCTGCCTACCTTTGGACATCCAAAACTACCCAGACCAACTTTATATCCAAGGTGGCATGGAAACATGTCACTACTCCAAAGCATCAGGGAGGGCTGGGTATACTAGACCCGGACACCCAGCTTAAAGCACTACAAACCAAATGGGTTACTAGGCTGTTAACCCAGCACAAGCTACCATGGACCTCTTTGGTGCTGCACAGGATAAGACAAATGGCTAAATTTAAAACGCCGCGGAATATGTCCGGGTTGCTTTGAGTAATGTGTGGCAATTGGGCTAGGGTGGGGAGAAGTGAGCGGAGCAATCAGGAGGACGACTTTGATGCTGCGAAAATGTCCTATTGGGAACAACTGTTGAAGTTATGGAAACATATCTTCCCGGCAAAAGTTAAGGAGCCAAACACGAGGGAAGAAGTACTTAGACAAACTTTATTCGACAACCCCAGTATTAAGGACGCACAGGGGAAGCCGCTCACGATGTCGATAAAAGATGCAAAGTGGGGAAGGTGGCTGGAGCACGGGGTTTGGCAGATAAAGCACATTTGGGAAGAAAGGGAAGGGAAATGGAAAACAGTTGGAGAACTGAGGACGCGCACACTTGCTGATGGCTTCTCATTTTTCTTGCTCTCCGCTGATGGCGTCTCATTTTTCTTTCATGTCTCTCTCTCTCTCTCTCTCTCTCTCTCTCTCTCTCTCTCTCTCTCTCTCTCT